AAGGAAGGAAGGAAGGAAGGAAGGAAGGAAGGAAGAACCCCAAAAAGTCTTAGGGGTTCTTGTTCCAGAGGTTGGATTTGAGCATCTTGGGAGGAAATATCATGAGAAGGATATTATCTATTGGATGTATTGAGACCTCCATGAGGACTAGCGGCATTGCCAAAGCAACAAAAGCTAATTTTCAACAGCAAAAGAGCAACAAATACAACAAAAGCTTCCTTGATTTATGGATTCGCGGAGGGAGGGTTATATTGAGAGTCATATTTCGAGAAATAACTTCCCTGAGATTAAGTTATTCAGGGACAATAGTATTGACCGTTTGAGAATTGCATAATTGCGGTGGCCATAATAATAATAATTCTCCTTGGAGGACTATACAATCGCAGGAGCAACAGAGCAGTGGCAACAAGAACTATCAGCCGAGAATTGTATAATCAAAAATAAATAAGATGGAGAGAAAAAGCATAGTTTGCAAATGAGGATGCTTGGAAAGTAGTTTATTTGGGATTTGTTTTAAAAAGCAAAGCTTATTCTTAAACAAGAAAAACTCTTAAGGGTCCTAACATCAGATTTAATTTTTGCAGAATTTTGCAATCTTTGCCAAAGATATATATTGCAATAATATTTTCCAAAGCACTGGACAGACTTCAAAATAGAGGATTATCCAAGGCAGGGGGAAATATCCCTAAACTTGATGCCTTCCTGCATTTTCCAAATATTTTTGTCTTTCAAAGGATGCATCTTTGAGTTACTGAAGAAGGAAATCCATCAAAATCTTTATAGATTATATCTATATCTACAAGTTATATCATATCATGCTATCTGTCCATATCAAAGTCACTTCCGATATTACAACCCTCTTGTAGGCTTTTTATAACCAAGGAGGTGATAGTTGCCTTCTTCTGAGGCTGAGAGAGTGTGACTTGGTCAACGTCACCCAGAAGGTTTCTGGAGCTGAGCAGGGATTTGAACCCAGCTCTCTTGGAGTCCTAATCCAACACTATGGAAGTTTCCCTTACTTTCAGAACACTTGAATAAATTCCCCTTATCTATGATATTTATAGAGCCTGGACTATGACTCTGGAGACCAGGGTTCGAATCCCTATCTGGCCATGCAAACCTAAGGGTGACCTTGTGTGAGTCACACACTCTCAGCCCCAGAAAAACCCAGTGATAGGGTTGCCATAAGTTGGGAAAAATACTTGAAGGCACAGAACCACAAATTATATCTCTATCATGCTATCTGTCCATATCATCTATCTGTCTAGCCAGCCTGGTTTATGTGTTGGACTACGACTCTGGAGACCAAGGTTCGAATCCCTGCTCAGCTGTGGAAAGCTGTGGGTGACCTTGGGCAAGTCACACTGTCTCAGCCTCAGGGGAAGGCAATGGCAAAGCTCCTCTGGACAAATCTTGCCAAGAAAACCCCAGGATAGAGTCTCCACTCAACTAGGAAACCCGGTGGGTGACCTTAATCAAGTCACACTCTCTCAGCCTCAGGGGAAAGCGATGGCAAACCTCCTCTTGGGAACAAATCTTGCCAAGAAAACCGCAGGATTGGGTCACCTTAGGGTCCCTGCTCAGCTGTGGGAACCCAGTGGGTGACCTTAGGCAAGTCACACTCTCTCAGCCCCAGAGGAAGGCAAATCAAGGAAAGAGAGAGAGAGTCTTTCTTTATGTTTCCTTCTGATGGAGGAGAGAACCCCTAACCCTAACCCTAACCCTAACCCTAACCCTTCCCTGCCTTCCCTGCCTTGCTAAGGACCCCAGGGGCTTGTTAGGGATGGAGATAGCAAGGGGTGCTATGTCTCCCGACTCCCTGGCAGCCAAGGCCTGGGAAGACCTCCTCACCTGTGGAGCCAGCCAGGTGTTCTTTCGGCGGCGATGGACAGAAAGGCTGGCGCTGCCAAGGCCCAGGCGGCTCTTAAAAAGCGAGCCAAGGGACAGGGAGTGCCAGGCCAGCCACTCTCCTCCCATCTCTCTCTTTTTCTGGCTGGAACCAGTCCCAGGGCAATCATCACCACCATCATCATACCTGCAGGATTCGCACACCGCTCCCCCAGGCAAAAAGTGGCATCCCTTCCCATTTGGCCCAAAAGTGCCCAAAAGAACCCGGCCCTCTCCCAAAAGAGAACAACAACTTCTTAAAATTATTCTTTTAGGGCAGACCTAGTACTCCACGAAAACGGCTTTAAATGGTCATGGCTCCAGGCTAGATAGTCCTGGGATTTGTAGTTGGGGGGGGTAGCATTGGCATTTAGAATTCTATGCACACAAAAACTAGAACTCTCAAGAAGAGCACCCTAAGTCCCTCCCCAAACTGCAGATCCCAGAATGGAGCCAGAGCCGTGGCAAAGGGATCAAGGCATTGTAAGTACATAGTGCAAAAGTGTAACTATTCCAAACTACAGATCCCAGGATTTGCTAGAAGGGAACCAGACCGTTTAAAATGGGCTCACGGCACTATACTTACGTAGCATGAAAATGTCTTCACTCCAAACTACAAAGCCCAGGATTCCCCCAAGATGGAGCCACGGACTCTAGCACTATAATTATGGAAAGAGGACTAAGTCCCTCCCCAGACTACAAATCCCAGGATTGCCCATGGCAAAGTGGTTCGTTGCTGTCGTGTGCCTTCAAGACATTTCTGACCTAGGGCGACCCTAAGGCAAACCTCTCAAGGGGCTTTCTTGGTAAGATTGGTTCAGAGGGAGTTTGCCTTTGCCTTCCTCTGAGGCTGAGAGAGTGTGACTTGCCCAAGTTCCCCCAGTGGGTTTCAGGGCCAAGCAGGGAATCGAACCCTGGTCTCCAGAGTTGTAGGCATGATACAACCCCAATATCTGTGGGAACACTACATTACGCACATCTGAAAAAATAGATGTTCTCTCTAGGCATTTCTAGGTCCTCCATCACCGTTCTACGGCGAGTTGACCATAGAGCTGGAAAGGCCTAGAGCAGGGATTCGAACCCTGGTCTCCAGAGTCCTAGTCCAACCTGCAAAGCACTCTCAACCCAGAGTGGACCTTCAAAACCTATGGCTTTTTCAGTCAAGATTGTGCAAAATCCGAGAGCTAGAGCCAGATCCTCCGGAGTTCTGTGTCTCGCCTAAAATTCAGATTTCTCAATTCAGATTTGGAAAAGGAATGCAAATTCTGTATTTCGCACTGGAGACCGAGCCAAGACAAAGGGAACCTGGCCTGGCCTCTCTCTCTCTCTCTCTGGCCCTGGTTCTCCAAGGAGCGCAGGAGCAGAACCAAGGGCCTGGCCTGACGTCAGTGCGGACGCTCTCGGCTCTGCTCCGCCGGTCTTGGCGGGAGAGAGTCAAGTCACATTCCGTTCTTGTCCCAGCTTGGTCCAGACAGTGTGTCCTCCGGGGAACAGGACTCAAGCAAGGCCAGTGATTGAAAGGCGCTCTGCGTGACCTTTCTTTCAGGAAGCGCACAGAGTGGCTTGACCGTTGGGCCATGGCCCTGGAGGCCAGGTTTCTTCAGAGGGGCTTTGCCATGGCCTTCCCCTCAGGCTGAGAGAGTGTGACTTGCCCAAGGCCACCCAGTGGCTTTATGAGCGTGGTTCCCACACTTTGATCCTCCAGGTGTTTGGGACTTCAATTCCCAGGATTCCTGGACACCCTGGGCTTCTGGACACTGAAGTCCAAAATTCCCAGACATCCTGGGGCTTCTGGGCATTGAAGTCCAAAATTCCTGGACATTCTGTGGCTTCT